AAAAAAGTGATTCAACATGCACAAAATAAAGCAAGCAGGATTCTCCCTTGATCCCTGCAAAGACTTTTTACACATCAAAAACGCTTGTGGGAAAGTGTCGAACCAGGGAGAGAGTTTCTGAAAGAGAGAGAAAAGGTGCCAGCAGTTTTCTGATTGGCCAATTTTGGTGAAATGAAATTTCCGAAGAAGGTGAAAATTCCATGGTCGACCGATGACGTCAGCCACGGTCATGACGTCACCTCTTGAAAAATTGAAAATATTCAAATTCGCCGTGGGATTTTTGGCCAATCAGAAATTTTCTTAAAAAAAGACATTTGACCAATCAGAAAACTGCGGGCACCTTTTCTCTATCTCTCTCTCTGTGACTGCTGTAAGTGTACGTTTCTACGCCTAAAAGCCCGGCGATATAGCCCCCCAGCCACGTCTGCGTGCTATCTCTCACTTGTACCAACTACTCGAGAGAAAAAAGCGACGACGCTTGCAGGAAATACACCTAAAGTCGTGCTCTCCGGACACACAAAGAGAACGCACCGCATTTATTTTTAAAAACATGATTTTGCGACCCTTCCCCCCCCCCTCATCCCCCCTTCGATGTTTGCCATCGAGGTTGGGTTTTCGTCGCTTGGCAACGACATTGTAAAACAAGCCGCCGCCCCCGGTGTTTGCCATCGAGGTTGGGTTTTCGTCGCTTGGCAGTGATGTTGTAAAACAAGCCGATTCACTTCGTGAGCTCGGCAACCAGGTTACCGCTTCTTTCTTTTTCGCCTTTCTTTGTTTTTTTTTTTGCGGTAACCATGAATGGTGGTCTAGTAGATTTTGTTGTGAGGGGTCGAGAACCCTCACTCCGCGCAAAGGGGATAATCGCCCGTTGTGTTAAATTGGTCAAACACCCTCGAGGCAGTTACACGAGCTTATAACTGTCTCTGGAAGTGAAAGCACCAGAAAATAAATTAAGTCATACGCAGCTGTCATTCGTACGCAAGGAAGTAAGCACAAGATGCCGAACACCCTTAGCAGGATGCAGCGCACCCTTCATGCGACTCGCCGAATACCTCACGGCGCTTCGCGCTTGGTGATGCGAGAGCCTGGTCCGGTGAGAACCCGGCGTGCTCCGTCCCGGCTTTGTAGGGATGCGAGGTTAATGGTCTAACGACTACGGCATGCCCGACTATGAGTACACCCCCCCCCACGCCAGGAGAATGGGCACGCTGCTTGCTGCACTGCAACCAGTCACAAAATCGATCCCCGATCAGAGCGAGCCTTCTCTCCGAATCCCGCTTGTAGCCTTTCGCACACGGGTAGATGCACGCTTACGCTCGGCTCGGCAAAAATCTATATTGGCGCTCTGCCCAGTTCTTAACACGGAATACGTATTACAGTTGGTATACCTTCTTTCTACTGTGGTACAACCGACCGTCACACATCTTGAAACAAAATGGAAGAGGGGTGTAGTGTGTCGTATCCCACCCGAAAGGCATCGAGCGATGTATGTATATCTATTCCCACCGCAGCCCTTCCAAGAGAACAGCGACTACAAGCTGCAAGCAGGAAACGTTCTACTCAGGGGCGCTTAGGACGTCGTATCGAGCCGTCAACAACGAACAACGTCCTCACGCCGATCGGATCGGACCGTGTGTCAATCCAGCCACCCGTCTACCCGAACTTGGTCTTAATGTTGACCTTGGTCTTGTTTCTTGGTACGATCGCCTTGCAGATGCGGATCTTCCGGCCGTCAACGATTGACTCGCACGTCCCACAGTCTCCCTGTCCACGGTGGGGGGGCGATCGACGGCGGCAGTCACAAATCATTTCAGGAACGCCTCGGCCTACGACTAACGACGGCCCGGTGCGTGCTTGAAACAAACGGCGGTCGGCTTGGAACGCAGGAGCCATTGTAGCACTCACCGAGGACGAAAACAGCGGATAGATGGGGGGCTGCGCCCCCCCCCCCCCCCGGCGGCAGGAGATACTGCCGTAGCGGCTAGCGGCTAACGAAGTTAGCACGCGAGAATATCAATCCAGCACGATCACGCACACGCACACGAAAGACGCACACCGGATGGACCTGATGTCCGCTCGACGACCAACTCGATAAAACCTCTGTATTGTTGATAGATATTCACAAGAGACAACAAAAAAAAAAAACATGGTTGTAGGAAACAATTCCTTTACAGCAGGAGACCAACTAAAAGGCTATTTTGATACTCAGGAGGTATGTGGTCGTGGTTGCTCACAAACGTTTCGGGTGGCATACAAGGTGAGGTCGCCGGTACCCAGCCCAACAGGCCCTTCTGCTGCTTACACCGCCGCGGCGGGCGCGTCACTAGGCGGCGATGGGTATCAAGTAATCCTTTCCCGAAGGCGTAACCACGCCAGTATTGGTATCTATCTTGTGTACGGCGGTGGGACGAACGTTCTGTAGAATCGACAACATTGCACTACAAGCACAATCTAACTACTAATTTGATATATACGCAGGTGCGCTCCCGGCGCNNNNACGAGCGTTCGGTGGAATTGTCGACGGTGCGCTAGCGAGCTCCCTCTAGGTTCTAATTTGAGATGTGCCTTTAAGGGCCGGGATCGCACCTGCGTAGATATCGAACTAGCAATAGACTGTTTGGTGCAGTGTTTTCGATTCTAGAACAGTCGTCCCGCCTACCGGTGGGCACGTGTCATAATCCCCGTTTTGTATGGGTCGCATAGACATACTCAAACGGTCGTCAACCCCATACGGCGAACAACAACTTGATCCCAACTGGTACTATAATACTTGAGTACAAATACCATCGGTTGCGTCTCCTCAGACACGTTGCAACGACTGACTCATCGCGCTCGTTCATCCAACTGCTTCAGCGACTCTTGTTAGTTCGTTGCAGCTAGCTCACAATGTGCTATTCATATGCATAGACTGACAAGGCTCTTCTGCCTTCGGACCTATCGCAACCCAAAACCATATCATAAGACCAATGGCTGGTCTATACTAATAGTGACTTGATGTCGGGTTGCAAAAACGCAAGTCGTGGGTTTCTGATCTGATGTTGGGTTGCAAAAAAAGTACAGAAATCGTAGGCTCTCAAACCGAACAGCCAGAGCTAATTGGTCTAGCGGTTTGACGTCGTTTCTTTCCAAAGCCGACACACAATGATCGAAGAGCGCTACAGTACGGCCCCGGAGATATGAAACGTCGAAATCGGGCTGAGGCTCAGGTTCCTATTTCGTCGACACTGCTTTGTCGAGCACAGGTTGTTATATAGAGTTAAGTGTGGGGATTCACCGCTGTGGTGTGTTTCTTGACCCACTTTCTTATTTTTCGTGAAGATGTAAGACTGGGTCTGTGAATGAACGTAGCATTTCTCAACTGCAGGTCCGTAGTACTGCTGTGGTACACGCTTGCCTACTGCCGTAAATATGCATAGAATACCTTCTCGCAGCCGTACTCGATCTTCGCCTTGGCAGCCAGTACAACATCCCTCAGACGCTGCCCCTGCACCGCCTGGATGGTCTTTCCGTTGACGGTTACCTGAAACACGCATGCATGCCAACGGTTGGTTTCCTACCGGCTGCGGTTCACAGAGTAATTGCTGGAGGATTTCTTGAGTACGTCGACGGTATTGTAGCACATCTACGCGTACATGTACATATTTCTAGCGGAGTATTCCTATAAGAGTACGGGAGTATTTCTACGGTACGGACCGTTTGGGTCTTGGGGCCATCCTAGGTCGGCTCCACCTTGTCCACTCCGACTATTTAGTAGTGTAGAGGAGAAAAGAGCCCAGAGATAGCGATGTCATGCTCTGGATGGGAATTGCCTATTAAAAAGCAAATATCCGACTTCTTTCTGTAGATAGAGACGGATTTATTGTGTCATACTAAGAAAATAAAAATAAAAATCCGACTCCGCGTTGCGATCAAACGGCGGCACAGCATCGGCTGCCTTTCCGGCCGGTGCATCCGTAGCCCCGTAGCCGAGGTGATGGAATCTGCCAGTGCACCTGCACCACAGATTAGGAAAAATAATGCTGCAACGCAGGTGATGCTGCTCCATTCGGACGAAAGACCTAAAAATTGAATAACGCTATCATACTTCTACCACGGAGTCCAAATATCCAATGTGCATGCATACAACAATAGACATTTAGAATTATGTGGTATATACAGCAGGCGATCACTGAAAGGCTACCCGATCGAGACAATACCACACAGCAGCCGAAGGAATGCGTTCAAGTCTGAATCTGAATCTAATCTTTGCGGTGAGTGGGGAAGAAAGCCTGCTGGAGTTTGTGTTACTGCTGTACTGCTGTAGCCCTAAAAGCGGTATAAGAGAGAAAATACTCCGACATTGACGGATGGGGCAGTCGTCTGGGTAGTAGGTATGCGCAAGTGCTTTTACTTCCCGATGATGAACGAACAACGCTTCAACTTTGCCCATCGTGACCCAGTGGCAGTACACGGCTGCCGGATGTGCGCGCACGTGTTTGTTTGACTTCTAATGCTGACAATAATGTAGCAGTACAAGTAGGGTGTGACCAAAGGGGACGTAGCGGCAACTGGTGTTCCTACTTCAAAGAGAAAGTCCCACATGCGTTTTCCACACGCGATGTCAACATCACACACATTTTTACGCGTACGCACTCTCGAGGAGCGGAGAGTATTCGCGTCAGTCAGCATGTCTACTTTCGCCCTCCTCACCATGCATGTGTTGGGGGCGTTCTTGAGACCAGGGTTCTTTTGGGGGGCCATGTCCTCGTTCGCGAATGCTTTCCCTAATGCGTCGCCCCAGCCCATGAGGAGCGGGCCCGCGTGCTGCTGATACCGAGGTCGCGGTGCTGCTGCTGTTGTTGCTGCCGGAGCCGGATCATGGATTGCTCGGTGGTTCGACTTGGTCAGCGCAGACGGGCAGGGTACGAAAGCGCTCGCGGAGGACACGCTCAACACTAGAGCGACTAGTATACGGGTAAACGTGGTCATGGTTCCGTCGAGAGCGCTTGTTGCACGGCGGTGAAGCTGATAGACAGAGAGCAAATCAGGCGGAACAGCACAGAGCAGGGCGGTTGATGCCGCGAGGCAACTGGGGGCGCCGTGATCATACTCCCCACCCCCTCCCGAAGTATCTCATCTAGCGTGCCGCTCCCCCTGTTCCTGTGGAGGTAGAATTTTACACGTCCCCTTTCTGTAAACTCTCTCCGTCGATCTGCTATTTGCGCAGACGCATGCGGTCGAGGTTGCAAGGCGACAGGGAGATAGAGGGAGTTCCCTAACAGGAAGCGCTAACACCGGGGCCGGAGGGGGTCGACCTCCGCTGGTCAGGCGACGGGGCTTGCTGGACTTTTCGACCGCCCCTCCCAACTATTTTTGTGTCTTTCCCAAGCTTTGTCTTCTCTCCTCCCCGAAGAGACAAACGGCATGCTGCAATAGGAAGAGGCGGGGTTTAGTTTACTGCAAGAGCTTGGAAGGTGTCGGGGGACCCTCGTAGTGTTACGACAATATGGGAGCTTCCGGGAGCAAAGCGCGGAGGCCGTTGACGAAGGAAGGGCGCTTGGCGGGCACGAAGTTGTAAGTGTGTGTGGCGAACTCTAGGCATGTGTGTACTCGGCCCTTGGGTTCGTGCGACATCATCAACAGCAGTGTGATGACAGCAGTACCTGTGTTGTTGATCGAGCCTTCTTGCATTTACCTATATATTCAAATTATAATCTGATGCTGTCCAAACACGAGCAATAAATACCCCGACCGACCCACAGCAGCTGTCGTAAGGGTGCAACAAACCTGACGCGTGCGAGACCCTTTTTTGGTTCGCCCCTTCCCCCTCCCCCTCTGTCGCTCCCGGTTTCTGTTCCCCAAAACTCTCACATAAATCGACTTGTTTTCAGCATCCGCACCAGCAGACTACTGTACTTTTGTGTTGCATACGCGATAAGTGACCGCGCGCCCTTCGTTGGTGCAGACCGTTTTTTTTCTTCACAAACCTCAGAAAGATGCGTACAAAATAGGTGTGGCGCAACTCCCTCCCTCGTCCGGCTTCTCTCTATCCTCCCACCCTCATCCAGCTATATTTTCCTGTTGAACAGCGCAAGTTTCCGTAAGCAGGAAGAGAAACAATGCGCTGCGCACTGCTGTCTGTCTGTCTGTCTCGCCCCCACTGGCGACGGGCTCACGGGTCATGGACATGTACTGGTGGTATCTGTACTACAGTTGTTTTTTTTTGTTGTCTTTTCGGCACTTTTCCGGCAAATCGCAAGGGCCGCAGCCGCCCCAGAGAAAACGACGCGAAATGTTGCTGCGGAACTCGATTCTGAAAGTATTTGTATTGTGATACTTGTATGTGAGAGAGGAGTGAGGAAAATGATGGAAGCTGCTGCTGCTTGCTGTGTGTGCCTACAAAAACAACGGTGCTGCTTTTTGGGAATTGCTTGTTGGTTGCAGTTCCACCCTCAAAGCTGACAGCCCTTTGACTGAACCCATCGCGGGCGGCTGGAGGCAGGCGGGAGAGCGCCCGCCCATCGCACGTGTATTTTGAATCTTGGTCGCAGAAGCGCTTTTTCTGTAACTTCGGCGAAAACACATCGGAATAAATGCACACGCAGAGAGACTACTTGTACCCATTCGAGATATACCCACAGTCGACCGGGATGTGGTGGAGTCTTTTCAGTGAGGGGAGGAAAACCGAATGGAACGGAAGCAGCTCCCTCCCTCCACAAAGCATGAAAATCTGCTCGGGGCGTGTGCGTTATTTTTTCGATCTATTCTTTGTTTGTTCTCTCGCCTTTTAGTCATCTGAAGGACGTCCTAGTATCATAACAAGACTAAGTAGTTGCAACGGTTCCGAAGCAGTGCCTGCTGCATTGCCGGGGAAGATGTCGATGCTGCATCCACACGCGTACACCCGTCTGTGGTATAATGGTGTCCCTCCGGCCGCTCGCTGCTCTCGAAGAATACGAATCAAGCAGTATTATTCCGGTCGGAAATACGGGCGCTATCCATACGCTTATATGTACATCCCCCAACAGGCCCAGCAACAGACGGACCTACAATTGGCGGCACTTCCCTGTAGTACCTAAATTGCCTCTCTTGGCTCCTGGCGGTATGTTTGTGTTTTGCTCTCACCAATCACCCCGGCCGATAGACACGTCAGGGCTAAAACATGTACACCGAACGGTGTGTAAGGCTACTCTGCCGCCAGGCACGATGGGACATATACATGGCCCGGTTTGCGCGGCCGGTGCCATCAACAAAGAGCCAAACATACGCACACATGCGCGCCTTGCGCTATCCGTTCGGGCCTCAACACCGAGCACACCTGGCGTAATAGCTACCTTGTTCAGTGCTACTCACTATCTTGTTCAGTCCAACCCACAAGACGGAGCATCTTACAATGTCTTATCTGAGGAGTTTTATCACCGGGGTTGCACTTTAGGGCGGAGATGGAGAGGGGAGCTCGACCCCCCATGTTGATTGGGTCTACTACTATGTGCGTGTCCCAAGCTCCTTTGCACAGAGCTCTGGAGTCATGCAAACCTTGAATGCGAAATGCTCCGCGTACGTACTCGAAAATCTCCCCTCCCAACATGACCTTCCCTCTTATTGTTTAGTGTTGGAACACCCGAACAATCGAGCGCGACTTGTGGGGCTACATTACACAGCTACTTCATTGAATAACCAATACACGAGTTTCGAACTCTGGAGGTTGACTTTACTGGTTTCGAAAATGGTTACTTTCAATGTATAGCAGCTGTATACCTGGAACCAGTCCTGAATGCCAAGAGTCTCAGATTTAACGGACATATTTTGTTCATTCCCGTTGTCGAGTTCCGCGTATTTTTGTGTTACACAAGTATTCTCCGGAGTGGGCTTACGGGAGCGCGGCAGGGTCAACAAGGGGTGATGCAAGATGAAGATAAAGCAGGCAGTAGCACCACCTCACAGCTGACTGCCTGCTGCGGTATGACGTTTCGCGTTTCCCACGCTCAACAACTGACGCAGCTGACGTTTATTCGACTCGAACAAACCAACGAACCACACCGAACCGCGGCATGTGTTCGGTTGTCTTTCTTTGCTGATGGTAATTTAGAGGCGAAACGTGATCGAAGGCGAGGGAAGAGCTTGCGACCCGTTGCCTCACACATATCACCCGAACCAGGGCCGCGAATACGGTCCTTGTCACTCAAAAGGCAGCAGCATGAAAGTACTGCTGCTGCGACAAGGGTGTTTTGTGTGTGGCCATCGTGTGGCTGCCTGTCTGCTTGTCGCCATCTGTGGTGTACAGCAGTAGTGCAACCTTTGTTTAAAGGCACACATTGCTTTTCCCTGTTCAACAGTGACGCGCCCTTCTGATTTTGGGAATACAACCCGACATCCCCAGTGAAGCGGAGACGTGAAATACCTCAAATGATGCCCCTTCGGCACGGGAGTAGGAACACGAAATGCGACGGGAAACCTGGAGTCTCGTCTTGTGTTTGCTTTTGCTCGATTCAAGTTGTCAAATTGCCGAGTGTTTGTGGACACACTTGCGCTACATGGTACCATGTGATGTTGTATCCTCTTCCGCGTGCTCTCTTTGCTGCACAAAGCCTTCCTCCAGATGCCTCGACCTCAAAACCCCTTTTCACCGCACCAGCCCTCAGTGTTGATTTCATCAGGAATTTCGATTCGCCGCATGTAATCATAGTGGACGCATACGACAGCCTGACGACCCGTGGAGGAATCTAGTCATACTGCTATCCCCACCCACAAGCAGCAGACCACTCGGTCTTTGGGAGCATGTTTGCCGCAGCAAACGCCTGGGGCATACGTGTTTTGTGTGTGTATTTTCTTGTTGGCATCGACCGCTGTAACCGGCTGACCGTGTTCGTGTTCGTGTTCGTGTTCGTGTTCGTGTGTGTTTGTGTTTGTGTGTGTTTTCCCACCACGCGTTTGTTCCCTTCAGCGACGATGTCGAGCTGCACGTGATCAGCCTGACGTACAAGGACCTAGCGGGACTGTCCAAGGGAGACAAGGGCGGAGAGTCTATCGACAAGGCCACATTTCTGCAGAACTTTCCCGTACCCGGGCTCGTTGGAGGTACGTACGCCAAGAATCGCGCTTTATGGTACACTACTGGAAATATTTCGGAATTTGCGTTCCTTGATATTGTGATGGCGGAAGACATGTTGCATGGTCTGTGGTACTTCGGAGTTTTGATTGGGAATCGCCGTTACTTGATCTTGTACTGTTTTATGTGGCGTGTCGTAGTTTTTGATTCTCCCTCGTATGTGGTATGCATACGTGCAGTGCAAGGACGTATACGACGTCGTGGCATGTGGTATGCATGTGTGTAAGCACGTATCGGTCTGTGTGTGCTTCGGTCGATCTTTTCTGGGCGTCAGTGATTGTTACACCGTGCGGTAATCTTTACTACATGCTTCACGCACCAGCCGCCGGGGTCACACGGCAGGGAGGGTAAAACCTGGATACTTTTTTTTCACCGTTAAAGAGAAGTTGTTTCTGGGCGTGAATGTCCCCGGCATTCTGGAAGATAATTTCCTCACTACACCACCAGTATCAGCAGAATTTGTTTGATGAACGAAAAATTAGAAGTCGGCGTCGTAGATACCTCCAAGAGGAGCGTGGGCAACGCTAGCCAACCGATCGTGCATGTGATTTGTGTGCGCATGTACATACATCCCGCGCGGCGGGTCGTTCCGTATGTTCCTCACTGTCGTTGCACGGGTCGTTCCGCATCGTGTTTTCCGTCGTTCCGTGTGTGCCACCCGCGGTACAGACCGCTTGTTCCACGCTCTGGATAGCAACAAGTCGGGGCGAATATCCTTCGATGACTTTGTGGTCGGACTGGCGGTGTGCTGCCGAGGGACCCTGGAAGAGAAGATGCAGTTCCTCTTCGGGGTATACGACATGAACGAGGTGAATTTACGTAACTAAACATGTTGGATAAAGCATACAATCGGGGAAGTTGGGTTGGGGTTAGGGAATACAGTCTGCGAACCCCCTCCCTCTTGTACTTCCTCATAAACTCGCGAAGTCAGTGCAGGAGAGGCCAGCCGCTATTGTAGCGCTTGCTTGGCATTTTGTCGATCCCTGTGTCTGTTGGGGGGGAGAGGGCATTGGCCTTGTGTTGGCGAGGCTTGTCGGTGGTGTTGGTCTGACAATTCCCGGTGTTGTTTTGTTCCGCGTCCCTGGATAGGGCTTGCGTTTGGCTTAGCGTGACGTAGCCTCGCTTGGTGCAGCTTCTCGTGGCTATCCCAAGGTTTGCAGAGGGTTTGTGTGCTCTTTGCATGTTCGCGACGGAAGAGGCGCCATGCGAAAGAAACTTGACTGGGATTTTTTTTGTGTCATTTTGCGCTGTCTGGTTTCTTGCAGTTTTTGTTACGAGTTCCGACCCTACGTTTTCCACCCTGCTGCTGTCTTGCCAACCTGAGCGGTTGCCATGGTTTTTGTAAGCGGCTGTCTTGTTGATGTTTTCGCCTTTTCTTGCCGTTGGTCTTCCTTGAAACACGGCCGGGAGTCAGGGTGTGTGTGTCGGGGGGGGGGGGGGGTCCCGTGACGCGTAGCTCGCGGAGCAATGAGCAGACTGGTGGATACAGCAAAATCAATCACACGGAAAACAACACGCTCCTTATTATAGTCGTTTCAACGACGCATGTACCTCGAAAAAGGTTCGTGGCTCCTCGTGTGACCTACTGTACCATGTCAAGGAAACTGCGATTGCGCCGCGCCTTCTTTTGCCTCACAACAAGTGCCACCGTTTGTTCTTTCTATCCCTCAGGACGGCTTGATCGGCAGGGACGAGCTCTTGCTGATGCTCAACCAGGTGCCTCGCACGCTCCTGAACATGGGCATAGAACCGGTAGACAGGTCTTCTCTTAGCTGGGGCTCCCTCACCCTGGATGGCGAAAGCAAGACCACGGGGGGCGGCCTAGACCCCGCCCTGGCCAGGACGACGCCTCGTGTTGGAAACTTCAGCCGTGGGGATGACTTTTTCGGCGGGGGGGCGGACGATGGTGCGCCGCCCTCGATGTCGTCTTCTCGAGGGAGGAGGCGTGGGGGAGGGGGCGCGAGTTTGGCGGGGGGTTATGTCACGCCCACCGCGGATAAGGGGCCGAGGTCAATGTTCACGAACGAGGGTATCGCGGATCAGGCCCTCCGGGAGTTTGGCGAAGGCAGCGTGAGTATTATATCGTATAGCAGTAGCGGCTACGGTTTAAGGAAGGGTTGAGACAAGCGAACAAACCTCTCTGTCATATGCGGGCTTCTCTTGAACCGTACTGGTGTGCAAGTATTTACATTTCTCGTGGTCTGGGCACGCGAAAATCAGTTGTCTTCATTCAACCCTATTTTCTCTTTAACGTTCTCTCTTTATCTCTTGCCGGTAAACTGTAGCCGCTGCTGCAGCGAGATTGACCACTACTGGGTGTTGTGGGTATCCGGTTTTTGCGGGGTGAAACGCTTGCGATGGCGACATGGGGACTGAGAGGCTCGGGTACAAGGAGTGTGTACTGGATGATGCGTCGGAAATCCCTCAGGCGTCAATAATACGGTATATCGCGGTTTTTCTTTGAGCAAAACATACGGCGGATCAGTCATTGTCATTGGTGGTCTGGAAGTGTGAACTGAGCATTTACCCCGAATCCCATCTCGCCCCCGCCTTCCGCTTTGGTCCGCTTTGGGGTCCAGGACAAATCGCTGACTTTTGACCAGTTCCAGCGTTGGGCACAGTCCACGCCGGCGGTGCAAGCTCTGTTGCAAGGAGCTTTCCCTTCGGACGCACACTTCTCCTTGGCAACATCCCCATCGTAAGCCCGGCTCTGATAGATACTGTACGCCAACCCTCCGTGTTTTACGTGTGGTACGCCTCTGCTGACCGCGCTGTCGTTTCTTGAGCAGCTCTTGAATGGCGCAACCCTTGCTCGCTCCGTGTTTCGTCAGCAGTGGGGAAAGCAACAGGGAATACTTTGGTGTACTGTTGAGGAGTGGTTAAGGGCTGAAGGAATAGTCTACTTGTAGATTTTTGTGAAAATCAAACCCTCACTTCAATTAAAATGCAGGATTTTTTCTCCGTTTTCTCTTTGCCCAGCTAGAGCCGGTAGCATCCACACCATTTTGATGTTTTTTTGTTTGTCAGTCGGTTGGTCGATTTTCCGGAGGGGTTTCGTGAAGGATGGATGTCTGTCCGGTAGTGCAGCCCGTCCCCGTCGCGCGCTCTTCCGTCTCTCGTCGCACCAGGCGCACCGCAAGAATTAGGTGTTGAGTCAATCGGAAATGGTGTATGAGATCGATTCTTGAGGTTGTTTTACCTACCTTGTGTCTGGCTTTTCGAAGCACTCTCGTACTCTGCCGCTGTAGTTTCAGCGAGCAGTGTGAGCTTGCCAATCGGTGGCGCAGCTTCGATGTCCACCGCGCCGCCGTGACCTTCCACCACAAACGCTTGCCTAATAAACCTAAAGCGTCTTCCCGCGTCCGTCCCCTCCCCCCGGCCCCGGCCCCCGTGCTTTTTCCCTCTCTTTGTTGTCGCAGGGCACGTCGTTCAACGTGCGAAACCCTGTTGACGTTCGATTCTCCCCGCAGAAGCAGCGCCGTTTCCGCTCTGCCTTTCACCACCCCCCGGAGGACGCGGGAGTCCAAGTCCGCCGCCACAGCTATCTCTGCCATGACCGCCTGGTCGGCCTCTGCGTCTGCGCGCCCGGCTCCGATGGGTGGCGGTGGCGTTGGCGGCAGCAGCAGCAGCAACGGCAACAACGGCGGCGGCGGCGGCGGCAGGCAGGGACCGCCGTTGAGGCTGCGGTCTATGGGCGGAGAGGACACGTTTTTAAGCTCCATCGGGGGCGGGGGCGGCGGTGAGCAGCAGCAGCCTCCCATGGGTTTGATGACACCGTCGCGAACCTTGAGTCGGAATACCTCGTACGGTAACCTGCTGCGTTCGCCCCTGGTAGGGCATGGGCTCAGGGGGCCCGCGGCGAGGAGCCCCATGCCTAGGGGGTTCTTCAACGCGGCGGGAGGGCCTGCGGGGGGCGGAGAGGGGGGGGGGTCGACGGCTACTGCGAAGGGAAGGGGGTGGGGGGGCGAGGAGCCGTTGAAGACCCCGAAGCCGGGAGCGTCCGGTTTGGGGCGAACTTGGGGGGAAGACGAGCTCAGGAGAGCTGACGGCGGGAAGGGCGGCGGCGGCGGCGGCGGGGTTCGGAAAGACGGAGGGAGAGAATACATCCCGCCGACTCCTGATCACCACGGGCAGGAGCAGGCGCAGGACGCGCGTCCGCATCCGGGTTAAGCTATGACCGGCGCTCCGCCGCGGGCAGAGCGGGAGCGTCGCCACCCCCGGCTTGACGCTCGACTGTACCCTCCTCCACCCCGAGCCCTCCGTACTGCCGCTGCCGCTGCCGCCGCCGCCGCCGCCGCCGCAGGTGTCTGGACCTTCGGACGGCAGAGCATGAGCCCCAGCAGAATGGAATCTGGCGCTGGTGGTAACAGCGGTGGCGATGATGCAGCGGCGGCAGGCTCTCGGCCACCGATGAGCCCTCGTGGTTCCGCCAGCGGGGCGGGCGGCGACGCGGGCCCGCCTCCCAAGACCCCGGCACACCCTCGCGGTGGTGGCGGCGCCAACCCCGACAGGCTCACCCCACCCGGCACCGCGGGGGTGACCCGCAAGGCGAAGAAGCTTGTGGTAATGGCGGAGGCGGCGGCGGCGGCGGCGGAGACGGCGGCGGTGAATATGTCGGCGAGGGGCGATGGCGGCGGCGGCGGCGGCGGCGACCAGCAGCCCGGCACTCAGGCCCTGTTGGCGCTCGCAAATGCCGCCGCGGTCGGCGTGGCTCCCCCCACGCGCACCCCCAGAAGGGGAAGGAAGCTGATGCGCTACCTGAGTCACGACGCGGGGCCGGCGGATAGTAGCAGCCCTGCGGCTAGTAACGGCACGGCGAGGGTGAGGGGGTTCATGAGGATGAACACCAGCCAGGGCCCAAGCATGCAGCCCCCGGGCAGTGTTCCACGCATGGGCAGGAAGAAGATGGCGTTACGGCGACTGAACTCCCTCTCCGCGGCGGCGTGGGGTGCGAGGGCAGAGAGCGTGTCCGACAGCGGCAGCCGCTCGCCGCCGCCGCCGCGGCCGCCCGGTGGCCGTAGCGTGCCGGCGCTTGGCGGTGCCGGCGGGGCACCGCCCGCCTCGCGAAACGCTCCGACCAACCGTGTTCCCGCCAATACCACCACCGACCCAGCCTTCGCCGCCACCGCCACGAGCAGAGAGCGTTACCACCACCGCC